TGTTTCTGACGGTTCTTGCTTTATTTTAAACACATTTGTTTTGGCCAAATGATGAAACAACTATTTTTGCTAAAAAAGGGTGATCTTTTCTATGGTTACTGTTCAAAGTTAGAATTGGACATGATTGTCCCTGTTTTTACTCTTTTTGTTTTTCTGTTACACGGTATACCTCCAATGTATTGGAGATTCTTTACTGTGAAAGTGCAATGCTTGTGTGAAGAAAGAAAATCAAGTGCATTTCAATCGAGGTGCATATTCAGCGATTTAATAGAATGTTTAAAGCACAGCAGGGGTTTGTAATGCTCGAAATATGCTGACAGAGTGATGTAATACCACGGTGACAGAGAAAACGTTCCAGTGGATGATTATGCAAGGAAAGAAGTATTTATAACTGTTTAGTTTACATAACTTAGTACGCACAACGTATTCCTAATATTTTGTTCGGTTTGTATGATGAGCATTATGTAGGGCAATTTTACTATTGATAATGCAGAGAACGCCTCAACGGACGGGAACTCCCATGTAAAATATCGGCATTTTATACAGACGTTCTGGCCTGTTAGTATACATAGAGGAGGGGAGGGGAGGCTTTTTTAGTGTATAATATTTTGCAATGATGTCCACACTGCAAAATTGTGGATTACAAAATTGACCTGTCTTTGAGGGTCATTTGAGATTACTAGAAAAAGTATAAATGCTAATTTGACAAGGAAGTATGCATTAACAGCCAAGAAGTAGGTGATTTTTAATCATCTCTTGTTCAATATTCGGTACTATTGATGATAAACAAAACTGATAAAAATGATAGTGCACAGTTTGTGCATTAATGATTGGGTAGTCAGAGAGGTTAGACCAGTTCAGACCGAACTCGGAAATAATATTATCAAACTCTAACTAAACAAGAAAAACACTCAAATAAATGCACACTCTCAATCTCTTCCCCGTCAGTACTACATGTATATCTACACAAAGTCATACACCGGCTTCCTTGTATTAGAAAGTGCAATTTTATCTGTAAAATGGTGTATATATATATATGTAAATATATAAAAAAAATATTTCTATCTGTGGTTTGAATAAGACTATTGTGTACGTTCTAGCGACGTTTTAATACATATGATTTCATTTGTTTAGCTGCAGGCGGGGAAGGATAATTGATGATAAGGTATAAAAATCGGTATCCTATCTATTATCTCTGTGCATGTAACAGGCGTGCACGATAATTTGACGCTTCCGTTATCAATGGGGTCTAGTCTCGACGCGCCGTCGTGATCAATACCTTCGCTCAGATCACATGTCATCCGCGTTACACATGACCCTGTCCTACTAAAAAGAAAAAAACAACACGAATGAGGCACGTTTTCTACCACAAAAATGTATTGCATCACTTACACATGTTTTGGTGATTCACAACATTTAAAATTAAAGGAAATATTTCGGGAAAACCTGTGCAATAAAATTGTTCATGGAATGTAAATCATAGTCCGTACGATTCTATGTGGAATTAATCATACGATTTGCAGCTCATTCAATACAAATTTGTAACAGTGGCAACACATTTGATATTCTATTTATCTTTCACATCCATAACAAACAGGCGCTGTAGAGGATACAAACACCCTCGTGAAATGCAATCTCGTCCGACAGACGATGTTTGTGAACATCTGTGTGAGGTTTTGTGACAATTGGATAAGCAATGAAGTCTGTAGAGCAATTTCCATCCAACTCTTTTTATAGTAACAGTCATCTAGTTTATGACCGCAGAAGGTCAAAAACGCAAACTCGTACAAGAGGTAATGTTTGTAAAGAAGTGTGTGGAACTTTGTTGCTTTTGGAAATGTAATAAGTCGGTAAAGCGATGAAATCAAAAATTCAATCAAATTCAATTTTTAGTAACAGTGACCTATTTTTTAACCACATAATTTGAAACTCAACTCGTACAAGAGGTGCTGTGTCTGAACATGTTTGTGAAGTTTCATGACAATCGGTGAAGAGTTGGAGTGTGTAGAGAGGTAACACTGTTTAGGACACGTACTTATTGGCGGTTTCCTTTATACTCTCGACGACACGTAGCGAAGGCGCTGTATCATGTTTTAAATATGTCAAATTCTTGTAATTTGAATGAAAAATCGCACATCCCGGAGTGTATATCAAACCCTATTTGTCATTAGACCTAGTTAAAGTGTCTCTTTATTGAGTTAATGTTAACAGTATTTTTTAATTTTATATTCGAGAGATGTGGGTTGATAAGAATATGGGAAAGTTTTAGGGTCGCCAGTATGATCTCATTGTAGAATATTCTATTATCTTGTTATTTCTTGAATGTATAGGAATAAAACGAAGCGATGGAAGAATATAGCTATCCGCAATGAAACACCAGAAAGCAGTAATTCATAATTCGTCATAATATCTTGCATTGCATTAAGCTTGACGCAATGATATGTCTTAAACTTTGTGTTTCAAATAAAACCGATAAGTATGCTACTTCGGTAATAGAGTGAATATATCCTGAATTATCAAGAAAGTAGTATTTGATGTACCAATTCTGCTTGTAAGAATAGCTATAAAGATTTAGATGAAAACAATAACTTAGGTATATGGAACACAGTGTCTTTGAGGTAAAGTAACAGTAAAACCTGCCCAACATCTATTTACGAACAGGTCAGTAGATTTAAATAGACGGGTAAGAGGGTAACTTGTTTTATCAGTAGACAGAAAGTAGGATAGTGGAAATGCTTCTTCTGACCAAATTCAAGCCTTACATGACTATTTTGATTAGAAGCTCAGAAACATCTGTTGGCTCGCGTTTCCCCATTGAGTCCATACATTGCCATTAAAAACAAACATACCCGTGACTGTAGGGAGTAATTCTGAGTAATTCGCAGTTACAGTGCAAGGTCATTTCGGTTTGGCTGGCGAACTTCTTAATTAGTCCATGAAAAGGGGCTTTGTTGTGGTTCTAGTCCTATTTATGTTTTCGGTTTGTTTGACTGCGTTTTATGGGAATCTCTGATAATGCTGTTGTGGTATCGATGTAGTCCTCTTTACCTTTCCTATTTTTCAAGTTATTTACCATATACTGTGTAGCTTTCCCTTAAGGTATATTGCACAAAATGTAAATATATGAAATAAAACGTTTTAGATATAAATCAAAGCGAGAGATATACGCTGGTAACACGGACCTTCCTATGGATCAATAAAAAGTATGAAAAGTAGCACGGCTTCATATCACCCAAAATGTATTGGTTACAAAAATAGCACGACTTTCATCGCTACTTAGGCACGCATCACTGACGGTGATTGGTCACGGTATAATGACACGCTCTGCGAGCGTGCGCGTTGTGTCTAATACTAAGCACATGCAAATAAGTATACCACCAGTATAGACCTATCTGATAACAGGACAAGGTGGTGATTTCTCTGATGTAATCAGCTCATAAAGCCTCAAATATAAGCTACAGAGCGGTGGGTTTACTTCGTAAGGTTGTGGCATTAACTGAATATTTGTTTTAATGACTTTTTATTGCCCAGGAGAGGAAAATATTCAAATAATTGTTGAAAGAGGAATATATTTGTAAATATAGGCCTTGTCAGCTAATTTGTATTTGGTTCGTCGTATGTGATGTTTCGTGTGAAACAGAATACAAAAACAGACGTCGAATGTCATCAGTAGGTTACCAGAGAGTGTGATAATCCTTATCGATATTTTTTGTCATAGCCCACCCACCCGTACTACAACCTCTCCTCTCAGTATCGTTATTTCTTTTACAGAAGATTTAAATTTCTATTTTCAACCCCTTTATTTTAGTTAAAGCGATTTGATTAAATGTTCAATTCCGTTCTTGAAAATTAAAACCTGGTTCTTGGTGATTACAGCATCTTAACTAAGTAGTTATGACTATTTTCCTCAATGAGCTCGACCAAAACACGTTGCCATTTTGAAAGGTTGAATGTGTTTTTAATGCACTTGTTTGACATTGTTAAGACACCGCAAACATTCATTGGAATAGTAAATACTCTCTTGAGGTATCGGGACCAACAACAGTGAATTTTGGTTGCTTTTGGAACACCGGAAAACTACTCGATAAAGTCGACTGGATAGGAAAATTCTTAAAAGTGTATTAGGTTTGTTCCCCGTCTAGCAAACATTTGGAGATTGAATAACCGAGTAATTACGGCCAAAACACCATAATGTACCCTGAGGAAATTTGACTGTTACGAGCATGATACGATTTCTGCCGTGTTTATTGAAGTTTGGTAGAAACTATGGCGTAGATACTTGTTGAACTTCATAAAATTTGTTCACTGGACCATATATACTTGGTGACCTTTATGAAATCTTGTTCATTGAGACATATATGCGTGGTGACCTTTATGAAATCTTGTTAATTGAGACATTTATAGGTGATGACCTTTATGAAATCTTGTTCATCGAGACATATATACTTGGTGACCTTAATGAAATCTTGTTCATTGAGACATATATAGGTGGTGACCTTTATGAAATCTTGTTCATTGAGACATATATACTTGATGACCTTTGTGAAATCTTGTTCATTGATACATATATGCTTAGTGACCTTTATGAAATCTTGCTCATTGAGACATATATACCTGTTGACCTTTATGAAGACTTGTTCACTGGGACATATATACTTTGTGACCTGCATGAAGACATTTTCATTGAGACATATATTTTTGGTGACCTGCATACAAGCTTGTTCCCTGGGCTATATGCACTTGGTGACCTTCATAAAGACTTGTTCACTGGGACATATATACTTGATGACCTTCATGAAGATTTGTTCACTTAGACATATATCATTGATAGGTGAAGTAGTTTTAGGGTTTTCTGTAGTTTTTATGTCACAGGTTGCTGATTGTTTTGTCCATTTTAAAAGTAACAAAACCGTTCTTGCTGTATGTGACGTTGATGCGAATTCGATACTTAAACATGTTTGTGTGCTGACGCTATAGCAATGTGTTCCGTTTCTTTACAGTTATGCAATGTGGATTCGCATTTCTTGAAGCTGGTGCCGTGAGAAGCAAGAATACAACAAACATTTTGATTAAGAATGTCATGGACTCGTGTAAGTACATAACATGCATTATCGCTATGCTCAAAGGTTTCTTCTTTGCAGGTGTCACTGCATCATACAAGGCTTTGTTACAGGCTTAAAGTAATTTATTGATGAGTTCGATTTGGAGAAAACTACGTAAAACATTGACACTTTAAACAGCCTCTATAATAACAATGTCACCCGTGAGATAATCTTTATCAGACATGAACTTTCATCCCTGTGACGTGAAGTATTATGCATGGGTTCAACGGGTCCGGAATGACCATATATGGTGTGGTTAATATTAACTTTGATTCGCTTTCTGTGTTGACTTGATAAAGATTTTTTTTTTTATTTATTTATTAATTCCAGACAAATCATATACACGAGGAACCGTCTGAGGATGGAATACATCAGCTACGGTCCTTTACATTAATACTCTCTTAATTAAGCATACATATTCAAGTTGAAAAAGAGATAGATAGGTGCTCCCTTACTCTTCATTTGATTATTGTACGTCTTTAGTTATGAGAAAACCTCTGTAATGCCATTTTCACCTTACGAACCTTGGTTGTTATTATATTATAACATTAGCTTTATCGTCAAGTGTTTTAACAATTCCCATTATTTGTTGGGGTGGGAGGGGGCTTCAAATAGTTTACAAGGGGAATATGTTTTGGAAATATTTTTTCTTTCTGTTATTCACATTTTGACAAATAAAACCGTAAGTTTTCCTTATAGAGCCTCCTAACCTAAGGGACCATCAGATTTTAATGCTTATACAAAAATCAAGATTTTGCGATAAAGGAGAAACAGACATATAAATTGTATGTCTATCCTTTATAGGTAGAGTGATATTCTAATGCACTATTACTGAAGGTTTTTCCGTTTATACATCCTGTTCATGATTGCCCAAAGCATGATACAAATGTTAGCTGAATAAAATTGTAAAACGAAATAGAAAAAACTTCTTTCAAGAAACATGTTAATATGATAGACAATGTATCTGGAAATTTCTGTTTGCTGAAGGTGAAAGTCGGGTTTTAATTGTATCAATTTAAGTTTATAAGACAATAAAGTGAAATATCGTGTGTAACGTAAAGAACGCTGCAATTTATTTTTTCAAATAGTATTTGATCGAACAACCACGATACCAGACTTTTATTGTTATTTATTTTGATCATAGTAATACTGTATGTTTCCAGACTTTCCCTCATAAGTGTGTGCACTGTTAATTCCATCACTGTTCCATTAGTGGCTAGTATGAGTCAACAGTAATATGTCTGGCAGTTACTAACACAAATATCTGTAATTCCGTAGTTTTATTTCAAGCTATTATAAATTAAACATCATACGATTGTATCATTTGAAACCCCCTTACTTAAAATATTTCACTGGCTACTTTCATAACGAAAAGCAGAATAATAATGCTTTACTATGAAATATACTGAAACTAAATGCCTACTTTGTGTAGGAAACACGTAATTTGAAATCATATTGGAACCCCTAATAATTACATTCTCACAAGTATGGATTCTCCTGCAATTTGATATCTTTTATATATTTTTGAAATGGTCAAGTAAACCGTTCTTTTTTCGTTCTCTCACCCCCTTTTTCATACATCTTACTTAACCTCTATTATTTCTGGACTTTGGCCATTGTAATTCGTTGCTTCATACCTTAAAAAAATACCGATGTATGCTCGTGAATAGATTCTGTCCAATGTAGACTTTTTTATAGTTTTTTTTCTGCGTCCGCTTTTTATTGCTATTCTGTCATATTTAGGTAATTATATCTAACGACATAATACACAAATTACACAAAGTATCATGTGTTTCATTTCTCAAAACCTGTAACACATATCATTGTAGGCAAATGATTTGCCATCTAAACTTGCAACTATGACCTCATTATAAGTGTTTTTATCATTACAGTTGTCTCGGGTGCGGCGTACTGGGTTTTCGGTTTTGCCTTCGCCTATGGCGACGGTGGAGTGGCTAATAAGTTTATAGGAGCAACGTACTTTGCGTCGTCTAACCTACCGGATTCAAAGTATGCCGAGTTCTTCTTTCAGTACACATTCGCTGCCACCGCTGCCACAATTGTATCCGGTGCGATGGCTGAGCGATGTGAATTCGTAGCCTACTTTGCCTACAGTTTCTGTATTACAGGTAAAGATAGCTAATGCACTAACGACGTTTAGTTATCTCCGGAACGATGCAGATCTCAATGCAGTCGTTTGCAGAGGTGTAGAACTGTTTCATAAGAATGGCTGCATGCTAAAAACAGAAGTCAAACATCTTGATAGAACAACACTTAAAGAAGAAGAGATTCCTTGTTGTTTATTTAAATTTTATTATATTTCCTTGGTTTTTTTTGGTTAATCTATATGTAATATACACATATCACCTTGTTGATACGGTATTCCTCTCCATGCAGTCAGTATCAAAGCCTATCCTACTGAGTAATGACAATCTGACATAAATTGAGTATGTTCTTTACATACATGGAACCAAGGACAATTTAATAAATGCACACTCAATGCGGGCTTTGTTTCTTACCATGTTTGTCCATGTTGCAATATTTAAGCGAAGGATATTAAACTTTGTCAATATATAGCAAGATTTTATAATCGCCACAACACGTCTGCATACACATTCATGTAATTGTACAAAAGCATTCATGACGTCTGTTGTATTGGAGTTAAATTATACCTCCTTTGGATTTGTGTATGCCCTTCTGATCGTTTTGGTGTGGTGTCTGCTCGTATCTGTTCTTATCGACGTTGAGTTCGGAATTTGTTCTTGTGTATTTTGATGATGCGTAACTTTCTATACTATTTTACTTATGCAAAGCCTCTTTTCAAGAATAATGTCGATCTTGATTTGATCGCTTACAGTACACTGCAAGTAATGAAATCTAGGCCGCGAAACATTTGAATAGCTGGTATACAAACAGTTCCATGAACGAAAATTGCTTCTTTGAGATAATTTGATAAATGAATATTTCTTTTTATCTATTTAATACGTTAGAAATATATGTGTATTATATAAATGTTACGTTGTCACAATCTCAGGTTTTATCTACCCCGTGGTAACACATTGGGCCTGGGGAGGAGGCTGGCTCTCCGAAGGATATGAGTATGAAAATATTGGTTTGGTTGCTTATCAGGTAAGTACCTAATACGGGACTTACTACTGATATGTTTTTACTTTAATATGACAAGTCATAAACATGTCATTGGATTTAACGAGTCAATATTATTGCGGGTAGTTAACAGTTTCCGTTGACTATTATATATATTTCACATGTGTGGAAGAATGAACCGATATTTTCACTCGTGCCTCGCAGTATTCTGACTTACTCGTACAGTATATATGGTATTTAACGTGAATCCATTGAATAAACCAGTAAGGTAAAAGCTGATCTTTTGAGACTTATTCTTATGACGCCATACACGTATTTACAACAAGGCTGCGCGCCATTTTGAATATGTTACTCAACACAACTCGTTTTCAGCTTTTATTTGAAAGGATTGACTTACGTAAATTGTGTAGGTAAAAAAAACCCATTAGAATACGAAGCAAAGACGTACAGAACCAGCATAATATTTTATTGTTTATTGAACAATGCAGTCATTTGAACAGGAATCATATTATATAAATAAGACAGACTGTTTGTTTGCCATATGAATCAAATTAAAATTGTCAGCGACGTATTCAATGTATTTGTTATAAAGTTCTCCTCACAGGCCTGCCTTGACATACAAAAATACATTTCTTGACTCATAATTTGTTTTCATCAATTTGCATCTTTAAGAACAGTTTGTTTGTAATAACTTCAGGATTTTGCTGGAAGTGGTATTGTACACGTGCTTGGAGGCGTAGCCGCCTTTGTCGGTGCCGCCCTTCTTGGACCTCGTATTGGACGATTCCACGAGGGACAGGTGGCACAACTCCGGGGACACTCGGTACCCGTAAGTACGCTAAGCAGATGCAGAATGAACAGTCACTCAAAATAATAATTATGCTGGATAATGATGTGAAATTTAAGAGACATTAAGTCGACTTTCCTTTAAATCGAAAAGTCTATTCTGAGTTAATATTCTGTTAATCGGGAATGGCGTTGTCTGTTTCATCTTAAACCCATAGATACGCAACCAATCGATGACAGTCTATCAATAGATCAAAATCGGTCTAGTACATACTCAAGCAATGTAAATAAAACTTGTGTTGCAACATATATTTCGTTTGATGCTTATTCTGTTATCTAACAGATTGCTGCTCTTGGTGGTTTCATCCTGTTTTTTGGCTTCCTGGCGTTTAACGGAGGATCGCAGCTGGCTATCAGTAATGCAGGTGACGGCGAGGCTGTTGCTCTGTCCATCGTGAACACAATTATATCTGCATCGTTTGCCGCTTTTGGTTCCCTACTTATCAACCGTATTCCCGGTATGGGTAACAGCTGGAGTCTTCTAGTCACTATCAACGGAGCGCTTACGGGCATGGTAAGTGTCATCATCAAAGAGGTGCTTGTAGGAATGGCAAGACAGTGCCAACAACCTACTGACATCAGTAACTAGTCAATATTAACAGAGCGCGTAGGGCAGGGTAAGTGTCATCATCACAGAGGTGTTTGTAGGAAGGGTAAAACAATGCCAACAACCTGCTGACATCTGTAACTAATCAAACTTAACGGGGCGCTTACAGGCAGGGTTAGGGTCATCATCACAGAGGCGTTTGTAGGAAGGGTAAAACAATGCCAACAACCTGCTGACATCTGTGACTAGTCAACATTAGCGGGGCACCTATGGACATGGTAAGTATCATCATCACAGAGGTGTTTGAAGGAAGGGTAAAATAATGCCAACAACCTGCTGTCAACTGTAGCTAGTCAACATTAACGGGGCACCTATGGACATGGTAAGTATCATCATCAAGGTGGCGTTTGTAGGAATGGCAAGACAATGCCAACAACCTGCTGTCAACTGTAGCTAGTCAACTTTAACGGGGCACCTATGTACATGGTAAGTATCATCATCACAGAGGCGTTTGAAGGAAGGGTAAAACAATGCCAACAACCCGCTGACATCTGTAACTAGTCAACATTAACGGGGCGCTTACGGGCAGGGTAAGTGTCATCAACTATGCGGCGTTTGTAGGAATGGTAAGTCACCATCAACAGGACGCTTAGCGTAGTCAATGTAAATCACCATCGACGGAGCGTTTACGGGCATGGTAAGTGTTAGCACTAACAAACCTTTTGCCGGTCTATGATAAATAACTACCATCACGGGGCAGACGGATTTGTAAGGAATTGTTAAGATAGTCGTTTAGTTACTTCATAGTGATCAGTAATCGGTACGATAGATCATCATTAAGAGGGGAACAGGTATGGAAAATTTCCCTTAATCGTGATTTGTTTCACATGAGCTTTTTTGTGAACATACATAATTATAAATAGTTCTTGTTATCGCAAGGCGCTAATTTACCAACTTTTGAACTTCATATTTCTAAAACTCCAGTTATTTTTTCTTTATTTTTTTTTCTTGATTGTATGAAAGATGAACCAAAGACACACACATGGCACTGCACATATAACATTTGTTAATAGTTAAAGCATACCTAAACGTTATTACACTGCGCCATACATCTGTAAATAATAATAAACCACAAATGAAAAGAAGTTTTAAAATATGTGTTCTTATTTGTTTTAAATAGTATGCTATCTAAAGTATCAGGATATTAATGCAGAAGGTTATCAAAAGACGTTAGTTTCAATTAAAGCGGTTTAGTCTCGAAAAATCGGAGAATAACTTTGTGTCAAGGTGGTAAAGCATTATTATGGCAATACAAAGCGGCAGATGTTTTGTTTGTTTTATTTCCATTCCCTTTGTATCTAAAACCATATAACCTATGTTCTTAGTAAGCGGTAGTTGATCATCTCTTGTTTTACAGGTATCTGCATGCGCAGGTTGTAACCGGATGTACCCGTGGGGAGCTTGCATATTAGGAGTTTTCGCCTCAGGCTCATACACACTTTGGTCCTGGCTGATGAAAAAACTAAAGATAGATGATCCCCTTGATGCTGTTGCTGGTAGGTCATATCACCTTTGTGATTTAATATCAATGTTCACATGTCATCTCTGTATCCGACATACTTTTCTCATGCTGCCAAGAAAAGCATTTCACCATATGAGATTTTATATTATGGTGGCGACAGAAAAATTGAGCAGGTGGAATAATCTGAAATGATCATTGCTAAGAGGTGACGTTATGCAATGTAATTCTTCATTGAAAGCATATACGTTTACTAACCTTTCGGTCGTAGTAAACAGATTAGGATACCCCAGGCTAAAAAATTCTCCATCGATAGTGTGGGGCAAGCTTACATAGAATTGTGCAATATGTATGAATAAATAGCGTTTTGGATACCACAATTTATTGAAACATGAAAATGGTTATAGAGTGAGTTGAGTGGACACGTGGTCTGCGTAGTCCGTCAGTGTCTGCACGGGTTGACAAATGACACTTACAATGTATATTTCTGTCATTGCAGTTCATTTCGGTGGAGGTTCATGGGGCGTCATTGGTATTGCGTTTCTTGACAGAGAGGACGGAATCTTGTTGAATTGGGACCAACGGTCTGGCTATGTAAGTTTACTCTAGGTCTCATTCTATATATGGAGCAATGTCACGATTTGCGTTGTGTACAAATATCATATAACGTCAACGTTTTACTATGATAAACTGAATATATTTAACAATGATTATGAAACAGGTTATTGTGAATTGTAAATCACTGTTGTTGGCCTAGATGAAACAATACAGATTCAAATCACCAATTAACTGATTGCAAATGGAATTATTCACTTTGTTGAACAGGAAAATGAAGATCGATGGAGGTCTAGGGGGCAGCAATACAATTGTTGTGATTTTTATTCGTTTCATTATCATTTTTTATGATACAAAAATGTGAAATAAACGAAGATAACTGTGATACCGTACCTTTTGTAAACAGAAACTGGTATGGCAGCTGTGCGGTCTCGGAGTGATTATCGGCTGGACGGCGTTCTTCTTTTTCCTGCTGTTTGGTACTCTCAAGTGTTTCGGTTTACTACGTGTTCCCCGTGAAATAGAGGAAAAGGGTAGGTAACTCTAACATACGGATAGGTAACTCCGAACTGAAGTTATTGAAATGAGAAATTAGTTTAAAAACAAAATACATGATTGCTCCTTTCTGCTAAAAGCTGAAGTGTGGTTCTGTAAAATTCATGAGAACTTGTTATTTGATTAGTGTCGAGTTTAAGGACACTATTGGGATTACATGATTCTCCAAAATCGAAAGGATCCTTCTTTTCCAATATTGAGTTGCTGACCAGTTTAACTTTTACCCATAACAGAAACAAATCTGACATCTGACATGTTTTCCATTAAATCCTGATGTTGGATGGATAACGTGTTTTTTTTATATTTTTTATGAGTTAATGAATTTCCGCAAACACTTGACTACTTTTCCTCTTATGAGGAATACTTTAATAACAGGATAGAACGACTTATCCTACACTGACCAACTTAAAAATGTGGCATTCCAACACTTGCATATCGAAGACTGAGAGGTGACATGATTAATGTCTACAGAATATTAAACAACTCCACGATAGTGCAGTTACCACAGGAATCGTCGATAAAGACACTTCACGGCAAACAAGAGGGCATTCAGGGAAGTGAAAGAAAAAGTATTGCAAACTTGACATCCGCAAATACTCCTTCGGTCTTCGGTCTGTTGAAGTTTGGAATAGTCCTTCCTTTGGACATCGTACAAGCAACCACAATCAGGGAATTTGAAATTGGACTGGACAATTATTGGCATAATTTTGAACTAAAACATTATCAGTTGGCTGGACATAATTTCGTTAGCTGAAGAAACACATACTTTGTATGCTAATTGTAATATTACTGATATAGACTTAAAGGCAGTATATGCCTGCGTCCATCAATCATCCTATTTTATCCTATTTAATGAGATCGCTGAGAAGCGTAGATGTAGTCGGCAGTTAGCAGTGTAACTTTTGCTATTGGACACTCTTACGTTAGGATATCGCGTTTGTTTTAGAAAAAAATTCGAACGATACATAGCAACGCAGAACATCGTCTGTGAGAATTTTCCGAAAGTAACGCCCAGCTCTTCACGATTTTGGACAACATTAGGCAAAGAGCCACACGGAGATCCACCGGCGATTTTAAATTATTTTAAGACTTAAAGAGTAATTTATTTTCAAATAGACCCTGTTAATTATATAATCACGTATTTTTAAAATCCAGACTTGCAAACTTCCGACAATCCTTGCTAACAAATATGAAACAATTTTAAAACCCAAAGTGATAACTTTCAAATAAAAACCTTTGACTAAACCAAAATCCCACGAGTAAAATAAATTAAAAGCCTCCAACAAAGATTAAGAGTAAATATATTCACATGTAGCTTATCGTGTTAGCTAGTTAGCCTAGCTTTCTATAAAAAGTTTGTTAAAAAAAGGCCTTGCTTGTACATGCTTTAAGCTGAAGATCATAGATGTGATATCTATAATTGCAAACAGCATTGAAAAGCAGTCCGGCCCACACCAATCGATATTCTACACGAAAGGTGATACTTTGAATTGGATAGAAGTATATATCTGTCTCAACATTTATGAAAAAAATAAGCATTAGGACTTGAGGTGTCAGCCTAAAAATGTACGAACTTTGATATCATGCAAATACACTATCATGATTGTATCAAGTAGCGGTTTTGCTTATACCATCAGCTTTCTATCAAAAGTTCATTAATTGTTACGTGTACAGTAAGAAACTCTCAGTCCTTTCAGGACGGTTATAGAAGATTCCTTTTAAAAAGGACTTCAACAAATATTTCACAGAAGTGACAGCGGTAATAATGCACTTGTTGGTACTCATTACCTTGAAATATAAACAAATACACGTGTTGGTACTCATTACCTTAAAGAATAATAAATAAACTTGTTGGTACTCATTACCTTAAAGAATAACAAATAAACTTGTTGGTACTCTTTACCTTAAAGATAAACAAATACAGTTGTTGGTACTCATAACCTTAAAGATAAACAAATAAACTTGTTGGTTTTCATTACCTCAAAGATAAACACAAAAACTTGCTGGTACTCATAACCTCAAAGATAAACAAATAAACTTGTAGGTGCTTATTACCTGAAAGATAAACAAATAAACTTGTTGGTACTCATTACCTTAAAGAATAACAAATAAACTTGTTGGTGCTAATTACATTAAAGAATAACAAATAAACTTGTTGGTACTTATTACCATAAAGAGAAACAAATACATGTGTTGGTATTCATTTCATTAACGAGAAACAAATGAACTTGTTGGTACTCATTATATAATTACCTTAAAGATAAACAAATAAACTTGTTGGTACTCATTACCTTAAAGATAAACAAATATACTTGTTGGTACTCTTTACCTCAAAGAATAACAAATAAACTTGTTGGGACTCATTACCTAAAAGATAAACAAATATAGTTGTTGGTACTCATTACCTTGAAGATAAACAAATACAGTTGTTGGTACTCATTACCTTAAAGATAAACAAATACACTTGTTGATACTCTTTACCTCAAAGAATAACAAATAAACTTGTTGGTACTCATTACCTAAAAGATAAACAAATATAGTTGTTGGTACTCATTACCTTGAAGATAAACAAATACAGTTGTTGGTACTCATAACCTCAAAGATAAACAAATAAACTTGTTGGAACTCATAACCTTAAAGAATAACAAATATACTTGTTGTTAGTCATTACCTTAAATATATAAAATATACTTGTTGTTAGTCATTACCTTAAAGATAAACAAATAAACTTGTTGGTTTTCATTACCTCAAAGATAAGCACATAAACTTGATGGTACTCATAACCTCAAAGATAAACAAATAAACTTGTAGGTGCTCATTACCTGAAAGATAAACAAATAAACTTGTTGCTACCCATTATCATAAAGATAAACAAATAAATGTGTTGTTACTCATTACCTTAAAGAATAACAAATAAACTTGTTGGTGCTAATTACCTTAAAGAATAACAAATACTCTTGTTGGTCCTAATTACCTTAAAGATAAACAAATACACTTGTTGTTACTCATTACCTTAAATATAAACAAATAAAGTTGTTGGTACTCATAACCTCAATGATAAACAAATAATCTTGTAGGTGCTCATTACCTGAAAGATCAACAAATAAACTTGTTGGTACCCATTATCATAAATATAAACAAATAAATGTGTTGGAACTCATTACCTTAAAGAATAACAAATAAACTTTTTGGTACTTATTTCCTTAAAGAATAACAAATACACTTGTTGGTACTCATTACCTTAAAGAATAACAAATAAACTTGTTGGTACTAATTACCTTAAAGAATAACAAATACACTTGTTGGTCCTAATTACCTTAAAGATAAACAAATACACTTGTTGGTACTTATTACCTCAAAGAATAACAAATAAACTTGTTGGTACTCATAACATCAAAGATAAACAACTAAACTTATTGTACACTTTACCTCAAAGAATAACAAATAAACTTGTTGTTACTCATTACCTTAAATATAAACAAATAAACTTGTTGTTACTCATTACCTTAAATATAAACAAATAACTTGTTGTTAGTCATTACCTTAAATATAAACAAATATACTTGTTGTTAGTCATTACCTTAAAGAATAACAAATAAACTTGTTGGTACTCTTTACCTCAAAGAATAACAAATAAACTTGTTGGTACTCATTACCTCGAAGATAAACAAATATAGTTGTTGGTACTCATTACCTTGAAGATAAACAAATACAGTTGTTGGTACTCATAACCTCAAAAATAAACAAATAAACTTGTTGGAACTCATTACCTTAAAGAATAACAAATATACTTGTTGTTAGTCATTACCTTAAATATAAAAAATATACTTGTTGTTAGTCATTACCTTAAAGATAAACAAATAAACTTGTTGGTACCCATTATCATAAATATAAACAAATAGATGTGTTGGTACTCATTACCTTAAGGAATAACCAATAAACTTTTTGGTACTCATTTCCTTAAAGAAAAACAAATACACTTGTTGGTACTCATTACCTTAAAGATAAACAAATACACTTGTTGTTACTCATTACCTTAAATATAAACAAATAAAGTTGTTGGTACTCATAACCTCAATGATAAACAAATAATCTTGTAGGTGCTCATTACCTGAAAGATAAACAAATAAACTTTTTGCTACCCATTATCATAAAGATAAACAAATAAATGTGATGGTACTCATTACCTTAAAGAATAACCGATAAACTTTTTGGTACTCATTTCCTTAAAGAAAAACAAATACACTTGTTGGTACTCATTACCTTAAAGATAAACAAATAAACTTGTTTGTACACTTTACCTCAAAGAATAACAAATAAACTTGTTGATACTCATTCCCTTTCAGAATAACAAATAAACTTGTTGGTGCTAATTACCTTAAAGAATAACAAATAACCTTGTTGGTGCTAATTACCTTAAAGAATAACAAATACACTTGTTGTTACTCATTACCTTAAAGATAAACAAATAAACTTGTTGGTACTCATTACCTTGAAGATAAACAAATACAGTTGTTGGTACTCATAACCTCAATGATAAACAAATAATCTTGTAGGTGCTCATTACCTGAAAGGTAAACAAATAAACTTGTTGGTACCCATTATCATAAATATAAACAAATAGATGTGTTGGTACTCATTACCTTAAGGAATAACCAATAAACTTTTTGGTACTCATTTCCTTAAAGACTAACAAATACACTTGTTGGTACTCATTACCTTAAAGATAAACAAATACACTTGTTGGTACTCATTACCTTAAAGATAAACAAATAAACTTGTTGGTACCCATTATCATAAATATAAACAAATAAATGTGTTGGTACTCATTACCTTAAAGAATAACCAATAAACTTTTTGGTACTCATTTCCTTAAAGAATAACAAATACACTTGTTGGTACTCATTACCTTAAAGAAGAACAAATAAACTTGTTGGTTCTAATTACATTAAAGAATAGCAAATAAACTTGTTGGTACTCATAACCTCAAAGATAAACAACTAAACTTGTTGTACACTTTACCTCAAAGAATAACAAATAAACTTGTTGGTACTCATAACCTCAAAGATAAACAACTAAACTTGTTGTACACTTTACCTCAAAGAATAACAAATAAACTTGTTGGAACTCATTACCTTAAATATAAACAAATAAACTTGTTGTTAGTCATTACCTTAAATATAAACAAATATACTTGTTGTCAGTCATTACCTTAAAGATAAACAAATAAACTTGTTGGTTTTCAATACCTCAAAGATAAACACATAAACTTGATTGTACTCATAACCTCAAAGATAAACAACTAAAATTGTTGTACACTTTACCTCAAAGAATAACAAATAAACTTATTGGAACTCATTACCTTAAATATAAACAAATAAAGTTGTTGGTACTCATAACCTCAATGATAAACAAATAATCTTGTAGGTGCTCATTACCTGAAAGATAAACAAATAAACTTGTTGGTACCCATTATCATAAAGAATAACAAATAAACTTGTTGGTACTCATTACCTTAAAGAATAACAAATAAACTTGTTGGTACTCATTCCCTTTCAGAATAACAAATAAACTTGTTGGTACTCATTACCTTAAATATAAACAAATAAACTTGTTGTTAGTCATTACCTTAAATATAAACAAATAAAGTTGTTGGTACCCATTACCTCAAAGATAAACAAATTACAGTGGGATGGAATAATTGCTGTCAAACACGGAAGGTCCTTTATCCTTAGCGCATGTTGTTTAAAATCAGTTCGTCTATCTATACTATGGCAGTTACTCCCCTTGCATCATGTTTTCAGTGATGCGTACCTTCGTTTGATAGAGGACGTATTGACTACATCTTTCAAATAAACCCAAAGAGGAAAATACATCTCAATTTAAAAAAATATACCTATCGGTGATATTTATACAATTGTCAACATTCAAAGTGTCTTATACAGATAAAAGAGACAATATGTAAATTAGAATAAATTACACCGCAGATTCAAAACACAAGGACAATGACCAGAAACAAAATATGTATGTTTCAGATAACGTGACTAAATATTGGATAGGTCGGTCGAGTTTTTAAAAAAATAGCAATATGAGATTTATATTTGGCTTGATACCTGCCAATTAAGTAAAAAGAGTACAGAGTTGCCTTGTTTGTTTGTCAATCGATTTGTTTGCATCTAGTGGATAAGTTATTTCAATACTGTATGGAGTGAGACCGTGTTAGAAAAAAATCAATAGTGTCGGAGTAAACACTAAGGTCGGTAGGGGTATCTGAAACCGATATATTTGTTTTTTCCTAATGTAAAAACGCAAAGGACGCATTTATACAGAAAATACTGCTATCTAAACAGGCTATGTAGTAATGAATTAACTTTAACATGTAACCCAACTCCATAAGCGGTAGAAATTGGTATATTAACGCTTAATAAGGAAAGGTAACGACTGTCATCTTAAGTTTGATAGAAAAGTTGAACAATTTCGCTTTGATAGAAAAATTATTCATCAAGTCATTCCTAAGTTTTACAATACATATTTACACGTTCACAATATATTTTATAGCTATAATATAAAGTGAATATAATGTTCCCATTCTATTTTTACATTACAATTTCAGTCGTTTATTTTATATGATTACCAACAAGTATTCAGCACTAAGATTTGTGTCGATATTTACAGGACTAGACATACCGAAGCACGGCGAGCCTGCCTACCCAGCGGAGGCGTACGGCCACGGGCATGTGGAGCACATCATGCAGGTCATGCAGAAAACCCCCAAAAGTGTCGTGCAATGTAAGTACAAGGGGATATATATTACCTAATAACTAGTGGATCAATAGGGTGGTCAGTACAATGTATACACCAATAGGCACCAGTATTCAGTATGTGGTATTATTGCATATATACAATGTATATATGTAGAATATAGTGAATCAAACAAATCATTGGTACCAATCCCGTCTTTTCGTATTGCAGAGTTATCTGCTCTTGTGAGCAGGGATTGATTGCTACGTCATTTGTTTGTGAGAGTAACGTCATCGATTTTTGAGAAAACGACGTAATTTTCTCACACAAATCAATGACGTAACAATCAATACCTACTCACAAGAGAAGATAACTCTGCAATACGCAAAGACGGAATAAAGTAGAGCAATCAGGAAACTACATTCATCATACAGGGGTTTCAAGATGATTTCAAGTTGTGTGTATCCAACACAAAGTAGGCAGTTAGTTACAGTAAACTCATACCACATCATTACCGTTCAATCTGTAGTAGGAGATAATTTTACTGGCTACTGGCTACAAATGAAACTTCTGATCAAAGTTCATATCATTAACATGGAGACAAGTTTTAATATATAAACAGTGGCATTCCGTGAAATGTGTAAATCTACTTTTGTATATTGAAGCAATAAAAAAGCTTAGATAAATATATACACTGTACAAATTGAAATTGTCGTTGATTTCAAAAATAACTCATTATTATGATAAGATGTGTAAGCACTTTCGGAAATAATGACATAGTATGAAATACATGGCTATTACCAATGACAACGTGATAAAGTCCTGAGAGAAATTCCCAAATATAAAGTCGACGGAAGAAGCCTGAAATAGTTAATATTTTTTTTCTACAAACGTATCACCATTTCGTTTATTAACTCATTCACCTCAGAGGACACATTTTATCTCCTCCAATTCAAAGGTTGGAATAATTCATTATGATATTTCAGGAGTGAATGAGTTAAGAATTCATCATTGGCACTAAATGTCAAACGGATGAAAATGTATGCAGAAAGTGTTGCTCTGAAAAGAACATGCAATAATAAGCAAATACAATCAGTGGAATAGATGTTTAAGAATAATACAATCTTTGTAGGATCCATTTTGTTATTAGGAAAAACTGCAAGGGGCAGGTATTCCGTCTTTGCGTATTGCAGAGTTATGTTCTCTTGGGAGCAGGTATTGATTGTTACGTCATTGGTTTGTGTGAGAAAAAATTACGTCGTTTTCTCAAAAATTGATGACGTTACTCTCACAAACAAGTGACGTAACAATCAATACCTGCTACAAGAGAAGATAACTCTGCAATACGCAAAGACGGAATATTGTAGCTGAGTAGGAGACATGCCTATCAGTGGTTGTTATGTTAATAAGGAGTATCTATAATGGCTGCGCTCGTCGTCATTTTAACAGAATTAACAACGTACTATCCTCGTTCTAACACGTTCATAATTGTAAAAAGGAAACACATAATATTTTCCCGCTACAACTTGGTAAAATGTTGTAAAAAAACATGTAAACGTTTTTGATATAATCCAAATACGTGACACGTTACAGTGCATTGACTCGTCAAAAGGGGGCTGTCAACAGTCGGTCGTTTATCCCTGCCCATATGCTAGCGCCTCTGTGAACTATTGTTGGTGGACGAGTCATCCTGTTATCAGTGAAAACTTACTAAAGTATCCACTATCCCTGTCAGCAGACATGACATGTTAAGTGTTTAGATATTAGGGACCTATTATTTCATGATGGTTGATGGTTAAAATTCACACGACACTGTGTTATTGGTGCTTTTTCATTTCTGACTTTGGTTTTTATCAACACTCTGATCTGATGCAAGGTTCATTAACTCATTCACCCTTGCAATTGTATAATAAACTAGTCCAACCTTTGAATTGGAAAAGTTCAATTGTGTCTTCAGGGGTGAATCAGTTAATATATCAAGGTACATGCAAGGAATGCTTACTATTCATCTATAATTTACCTTTAAGTTGCATACATTTCAATCAACTACAAGCACATAATGTTAAATGCTAGAATGTCATGGTTTTTTTTGGTTAGAAACGATGCGAAGTTGAAGTGTGGTGGGCGGATGTTAACACGATTGAAGCATGGCTTTGTAGGAGATTATAAATGATGATCCGTTTTAGTTATAAGCAGAACAACACAATCTTGTTACAACTAGTTTAACAGTACGAAAGAACCGAGAATGTCCTAAAGCCATAAACATTAGCTATGAATATAGTCAAAATAGTGTAAATACTTTCCTGATCGTTAAATTCAATGTAGTGTATATTTGTACTCAACTTACGCGATTCATGGAATATGTCAATATAGCCAATGATGTTATGACCTCATGAATGTTGAAAACAACACATCATTCCTTAAAAGAATGAAATCAAATTATGCTTACATATTTTTATTTTCAAATCTAGATTTCGGATTTGATAACCACAATGATAAGACACTAGAGTCAGATCTGGAAGTCTTTAGTAAGTAAATGTGCGCATTGGTTATAGAAAATGTTTTGCACACGTATTTCTCTTGGAAAAGGGTCACGCAATGTTTCATTTCCAATTCTAAATGTTGTACAAATATTTAGCACATTATGTGGACACGTAGTTTGAGATATGCATGCCGATTGGGATTTGTGTATTACCATCCAAGAAGAACCAAAAATCCTGACCCTATCGTATATTCTTCCTTCATAAGACACCATCGTACCTTTCCTTTGATTTATATCATAAACTTCTATTCTTTGCCCGATATTGCTGGTGAGTAACGCATTAGTGGAAAGCTAGGAATCTTGTACAAACAAATCTTACCGTCTTGCGATTTCCTTTTATCACACCATTCACCGTTATCTAACTCAACGTAAACAATTAACAAATATTTCTCTTATGGATGAGACATGAACCTAAAATGGGACATAGGCTACTTAAAATTATAGATATTGGAAGAAATAGTTCGAGGTTTCAAGATAAATCAATCGGAAATCTGCCCATTTTCTAGTGATAATCTGGAAGGTTTTCCGATTATCGCTAGGAGTGATCTCATAATAGAAGGTTGTTTGAACAAATATGATTTTTGCCCAGTTTAATCAATATTTTCGTAACCGAGCCTGTTTTGCAGTGACATTAGTTGGACATTTAATATGTAGAGAAGTAGTTGATTTAGCGGTGGCAAAGTGGTTAAGGCGTCCGACATTCAGCTACCACTAGCCTTCCACCACTGGGTCACGGGATCGAGACCAACGTGGGGCAATCGCCAGGTACTTGCCGTTGGTTGATGGTTTTTCTCCGGGAACTCTGGCTTTCCTCCACCATCAAAATCATGTACGTCCTTAAATGACCATAGCTGTTAATAGGACGTAAAACACAAACAAACCAAAAGATTTATAAATAATACCAAGAATGTATTCGGCTTCTCAGCAGTCCACTCATCGTTTGCCATCAGATTCCAAACCATCTGAAATTGTATTTGTATAGCAGTCATTGAACGGAAATGTAACATTGTTGTGTTGACACCTTACTTGATTATGACGTCGAAATTAACTTAAAAAGTAAAGAATATTTTAGAAACTGACAATCACCAGAAAACTTTTGAGAAGTAGTCATTTTCCTAGGATCTCTGTATTGCTGTATTGTACTAATGTTTAAAGCAGTAACTAGGTTGTTTAACGTATACCTTGTCTTCTAGGTTACACGTAGTAAACCGGTATGTCTGTCTCATTCTACTGATAACAGATTACACAATTTAAAGTGACTTATACACGTTCATGCTGTACCCTCACCTTCAATGCAGACATACGTTCATTTGACAATGAACTAGCTCTGTATTTTGGTATATATCTATGACGCACTTGATGACAAACTTTGATTTGTTTGCAGTGTTATAAAGCGTTTTCGTGAACATTTACACACATTCACGCAGTGTTGAATTTGGGGTTTCGAGTGGTTAAAGTAATACAAAACCTAGAGATATTTGCTCTCGTGTAGAATTTGCGAATTTATAGAACAACGAAACTAACCTATAATCATAAAGGATGTATTACATTGTCAGTATTTTCGTGTTTCACCACATTCCCCAATGAAAATTCTGGTGTGGATTAGATTCAATAACCCCCTCCCCCCCCCCCCCCCCCCCCCCCCCCCATCATACTTCATCATACACAACTGAAGGGCCTAGAGGTATTGTTTACATCGAGTTATTTCGTTTGAACTTATTCGATTGTATCTATCATTTCCTATCATCAAATGCATGGTTATTTTCTGTATTCAAATTTGTTACGCTTCTGCCTATCGTTATCCTAATTAAGACAGTTTAATTTTAAACAAATTCGAAAGTACGGTTAAGAAATCAAGAATTACTTTTTCGTAGTTTTTAGGAATGCTTTGATGTTCCTAACTATCTGATACACCCAATCTCATTGTAATTGTGGTTGAATGTTTAACCAACTAAAGTTCATAAGTTCATGTCATTAAAACTATGAACTAGAAATTAAAATGTTAACAATCGATATCACATAGGTACAGTGAAGTTTTGTCTCGATATCAACACATTATGTATGAATCATTCTGTATTACCTCCTCGTGTGATATACTCTATCCATTGACATTTAACATCAAAGGAATTCCTGATACCATTAAACGTTTTGTATTTTTTATATCCGTATAATGCATATGTCTGTAATGGAATGAAAACCTTTACTTTCCATATATCAATATCTATTGCAGCTTACGAAAATCAGGCGTTTGTAAACAAAGCTTACCAAAGACGAGTGTCAGGCAGCGGTCCTTATGAACATCCCGAAATCAGAGCTCTCAAGAAGAACGGCTATACATTCAATCCTCCTGGTTCGGAAGGTAATGGAATAAGAACTGGTGGACTGCAAGAACGGCCTCGACCTGAAACAGTGCAGGAGGAACCGGAACCGGAACCAGTGAACGACCAGGAGACATCTGATCCCGACCGCTTCTTCGTATCTCAATTCTAGGGTGCTATTTGCATATTTGCTGCTGAACCTGCATATTGTTTTCTGCTCAGACACACGAAACTCTCTCTCTCTTTCAAAACGACACAAGAGGATGTGATGTGCAAATAAATCGAGGGTATTAAACTGCAGTCTGTGTCTGTGATAGGGTAACAAACGGAAACGTATGTCTATGATGAGATAATATTATGTACTAATGTCAATATAAGTAGTTTATCTTGTACAAAAATGTAATGATTTGAATGGAACAACTATTAATATATTCTCTCATATGGTACATTTAACGAAGCACTATATATTTTCAGTGTCAATGTCTTACGTAGTGTTGGTTTCAAATTTAACAGCAACATCTACATATATACCGACATCATATATAATGCCATATCTACAAATTATCAATGAATATCGATTGTGCCAGGGTGACAGTGTACATTTCTATACATTGTTTTTGTATTTTTATTATGCAAAAAGACAGATAATAGAGTATGATGCAATATAAAACGTAGAATGTGTATACGCTATTCATTTTCTTAATACATAAATGCTAGCAATATTAAAGATACTGTCAACCATATCATTTTTGAGAAATGTTCACCATTTCTCCAGCGATTTATTTGGAAGGATTAAAAATTGCTAAAAACCACAACAACCATGTATAGTGTCTTGCTTTTGAAGAAATATACGTGACAAATTTGAACATAATTTCTGGGTTTTTTTTGTCACTTCATATTATCCAAAAAATCGGTCTTCTTTATTTGTGAATATTTTTCAAACAACATAAAACACAAAATAAAAACCGGTAACATAAGACATTAAAATCCACCATGTCACTACATAGGACATTAAAATCCACCATGTCACTACGTAGGTCATAGGACATTAAAATCCACCATGTCACTACGTAGAACAAAACACATTAAAATCCACCGTGTCACTACATAGAAGATAGGAAATTAAAATCCACCATGTCACTACATAGAACATAGGAAATCAAAATCCACCATGTCACTACAAAGAACATAGGAAATTAGAATCCACCATGTCACTACGTAGGACATAGGACATTAAAATCCACCATGTCACTACATAGAACATAGGAAACTAAAATCCATCATGTCGCTACATAGAACATAGGAAATTAAAATCCACCATGTCACTACATAGGACATAGGACATTAAAATCCACCATGTCACTACGTAGAACATAGGACATTAAAATCCATCATGTCACTACATAGAACATAGGACATTAAAATCCACCATGTCACTACGAAGGACATAGGATATTAAAATCCACAATGTCACTACGTAGAACATAGGACATTAAAATCCACCACGTCACTACGTAGGACATAGGACATTAAAATCAACCATGTCACTACGTAGAACATAAAGCATTAAAATCCACCATGTCACTACATAGAACATAGAAAATTAAAATCCATCATGTCACTACATATAACATAGGAAAATAAAATCCACCATGTCACTACATAGAACATAGGACATTAAAATCCACCATGTCACTACGTAGGACATAAAGCATTAAAATCCACCATGTCACTACATAGAACATAGGAAATTAAAATCCAGCATGTCACTACATAGGACATAAGACATTAAAATCCACCATGTCACTACATAGAACATAGGACATTAAAATCCATCATGTCACTACATAGGACATAAAACATTAAAATCCACCATATCACTACATAGAACATAGGAAATTAAAATCCAGCATGTCACTTCATAGAACATAAAACATTAAAATCCAGCATATCGCTACATGGAACATAGAAAAATCTGCGCTAAAAGATAAGTTAATGAATGCATTATATCATCAATTTGTTTGTGTAAAATAATTATTAATATAGCCCTAATATCTGTAACTTGTTTCTTTAAAACGACCCTCCCGGCTTTCGACTACCCGACAACTGTAAATTTTCTCATCCTGAATCTTTGTCGTGATAAGTGTTAATTCGATAATCCTAAAAAGGGATAAACATGCCTCGGCAGCACACACATCCACACTGCATTTGGAATACAACGAAATTGTTCGTGATTTAAGTGAGGCCATCCTTAGAATATTGTTTGTTTGCTGTCCCCAGACTCACAATTTTGAAGGTGAGTAGGTAGGTAGAGCTATATTGTCTATTTTGCACTGTATAACCCACACTAAATTGCATTTAATTCAGTGGTAGAAATACAGATATGAGCCAGCCAGCTCATAAAGAAACTGTGATGTTAAGGGAGAGTTTGACTATAATTTTAAACACAGATGTGGCTTATTGACAAGCTAACAAAAAATACAACAAACAAACACTTTCCAAAATCATGATAAAAACTTTTGCGGCAGGACCATTTTTAGAAGGTAGGTTGGACAGCAAATAAGATTCATTAAGGATGGCCTCAGATGTGATTTGGCTTTTCGGACGCGTTTTCGAGCTCCGCAAACAGACTGGGAACTACATAATAAACGAAGATCAACAAAATTTCGTCTCTTCATATGCAGTCGAAAGCCGGGAAGGTAGCTTTTATGATATATATATATATATGTGTGTGTGTGTGAGGCGGTCTGGGAAAACCAGATACAAGTCGCTCAGTCATTTACCGAGTTATAGCTCTTTTTACTTAATAATTCACTATATGATATCATGTGTTTTCTTGGATTGGAATTAAAAAGGTGTTTTTATTTCTTGATTATTACTTTTTTGGGGGGGGGGGGGGGGGGGCGCCCTTAATAGAGGTAAAACGGTATATATATACATCGCAAAAACAAGGCTAAAACTACACCAAGGTATGTTAGCGTGGAAAAGAGTCAATCAAATCAAAACATAAACACATGGGGAACAAAATAAAACAAATAATTGCCAAAATAGACAAAAATGCAATATAATCAAATATGTACATGGCAAATTGACTAGAATATGTGTGCGGACGAACTGCAAAGAATTATATACATGAAACAGGAGGGCCAAGAGGGCCCGTGAGTATCGCTCCACGGCCATTTGGCAAAAATAAAATTTCTAAACAGCCCCGCCCCCTGGCGGCCATGTTTTTCGACCAATCAACTTGGCTTGTAGGAATCTGATAGAGGGTCACCCAAGGAACATTTCAACAAAATTATTTGAAATTCGGCCTGACACTTTCGAAGAAGAATATTTTTTAAGTTTGCAATATTTTCAACCCCTGAAACATACTCATGATACTGTCATTGGGCCTGCTCGTCTTGTCTTGCTTGGCTGATTCCAGATTGGTCGATTCCTGATTGGTCGTAGCCGCAACTTTGGAAAGGCGTTGAGGCGTCGAATTACTGGTTTTAATGGTTGTATCGCCAGCTATTCATAGACAAAGTAATATCTCAAATAGTAACATTCAAAGCAGTTCTTAAAACAAATCACCTTGATGTCTTTTCCCCCCTTTAATATTGAAAGAAAAAGCCTCCCTCCCTTATATCTTAATAAAAAGTGGCCCGAGAACCAGGTACAAGTAATACACTTTGTGTGGCCTTTGTATGATGCATTAATATTAAATTAGACTGAAAACTCTCCAGTTATTACTAGTGAATTTCACCCTATTAAGAGTGCATCACATGTATATTATTAGGGTGGCGTGGACACCTTCTGTATTGTGACTATAATTGGATGTACATCATGTACGTCATGGACCCCCATGGGAAAGATGCAGATATATGTATAAGTACATTGGTAAAAATCGATCTTGAATAATCGAATTCAGAATGTTGTGACGGATGAACGAACTGATTGGCGCCAGGCAATGATTGATGCAGGTACAGTCAAAATAGCGTGAACAGCTGCTGTTTGAAGCAAAGTAATTTTCTCCCACTTCAGTCGTTTATTAAAACAATGTAATACATTTCAGATAAAAAAAAACACAGACAAATTGATTAATTTGTTTAAATAGTGGTAACCGATCATAACAATGTTAATTTCCTTCAATGTCACCGCTCTACATTAATAGTAGCTGGAGTGTAGTCATATGTGATGTATAAATGCCGTATTAAAACACATCATTATAACAACTTTCTTAGACTTATAACAATCACGCCATTTACGGTATTAACCTAAGTTAAAGGCTACAATTGTTTTATTATTTTCAAAACAGTAATGTTAGTAATCTGAAAAAAACCACAGCAAAAAGCTACGGAAGCGGGACGATAAGTTCGTTTGGAGACAGGTCATTATTCTATTTTTAGAAACGCCCAGTCCTTTAACAAAAATCACGCGCTCCAAGTCAATATCGGTTTTTATCGGTGGACACGTGATTCACTTCTGGCTTATAACTTGTCGGGATTAATCTGAAAAAAATAATAACTTATTTATTATATAATACAGGCTATTTCCGTGCAATATTGCCGTTCAATAAAAACGATATAGCACACGTACAATAAACATGCAATGAGTCTTGTCACCGTGGGAAACAGGTCATATTCCTACGCACTACAACTTCTACGTTTGCAAACAAAATGGCTGACCGAATTACTGTTTGCAGTGAAAGCAGAAGCAAGGGGCACTGGGAGAACAAAATAACAAACGAGTTTAATAAATTCAATATTATATAAACAGGAGTGTAAGCTTCACACAAATTCAACACCTGCATGTTCAAATTCCACTTGAACGTCTCCGACATAACACAATCAATGGCGAACACGTGTAACCGGTCAACTTCATCAGTGTTCCAGTTTCATGGCGGATTCCACAGTATATTTTCTGGCTCAGTGACAGGCGAAAACATAGAGGTGCACATTCACCAAGAAAGTGCAGACTTCGATGTGTATTGTACATGTGATGACCTTTAACTTGACAGTGCACGCGCCGTTGTGTCAAATATGTGATGTCACTGCTATTTTCGAAACAGCCAATTCGTTGAATTATTGTCGCATACAAAATTATTATTAATGTTATATGGTAATTATTAAAACATTAATTGATGAAGAAAACCTAAATGATTGTTTGTTCATTGAAAAGGTTCTNCATCGGTACAATTCATGTAGAGGACACGTGACAAAAAAAAGAGTGTTTCTCGAATTATATAATAAATAGGATCTGACACTCGTGTTCATGTAATTTTGAATTTATTTAACTTGTTTATCAAAATTGATTGAATTTTCTAAACATATCAGGTAAAGTGTATATGTATTTGTAAACATTGTTTCTATGCAGATTTCAAAAAAACAATGTTCTGATCCGCAACTACCAGTGATCCGAAACTCACATACTAACTGTACTGCTAACAAAAAAGTACTCACTGTTAGTGGCTATTTTTACGATCACTCCATGAAAGATGCCGGCGCCTCCCCACCTTGCCTTGCCATTATTGCCGTTTTTTATATACTTCTACGTAGATCTTCTTTGGTTCAACAATGGTAGTTACCGATTGCACGACCACGTTTTTTAAAGATACAAATATATATCAGGGTAGACGCCGACATTTCGATTTCTCATGTGGTTGTTTACTGTTGACGTTGATGATTCTGGAACGCGCCAAACTGTATCTACCAATATAAATCTTGACCAATCATTGACTCGTTTTCAATTCTTGTCGGTAAACACTGACCATTGAAAGCATTTGGTTTATCTCGCTATGAGGGTATGTGTAAACTACGGACCTGATAGCGGAGACCGCGAAACGACCAAATTAATGCATATCGCTTGATATCTAAGTGAATGACGCTGTTTCGTCACAGTTAAGTATATATCTAAACTTTATGCATATATCACTGATTCCACGCTAAACTGGACAATTGTCATTTTCTGCTTTTGTCATCAAAATCTTTAAAAGAATAACATGTGAGTTTATGTTTGGTATGATTGAGTTAAGAATTTGTGATTCTGTACAGACATTTGAAACAATCACATCATCGTAGTATAGTAAACATGGATTTACAGGTAATATAAGCACGAACATGTCTCTTTCACAGCATAATTGAATGTCACAATTTGATAGCTAGATTTGACCGACATCTTTTCCGAATAGAAAAATGACATTCAAAATATTATTTTTGTTCTTGTTCCTTCAGTGTGACATATTTATTGCAAAAAAATAACAAAAAAACAAACATTTTTTTTTTTTATATATAAAAGTGTATTAAGAACATTGAATAACAATTTAACATCAGATACGATATATGGGTGAATTTCAGTGTGCCTTTCAGGACGGAAGGTGATATGAATGAAAGTGAAAATTGGGTTCTTAGATAACATTTATCAAACATAGTCATACTGAATGTAGACAGTTTCTGGGTTTGTCTAGAAAATAGGTCTCTACAGTCTGTGTTTACCCATAAACCTTTGCTTAGGCGAAAATTAAACATCTGAATTGTCCGCAGGCGATCTAGACACTGCAACTAGCAGTAAATCAGATCAGTTTCGAAAAACAGTCAATGGAAAGTTTGAATGTTTATTGTGTTACAGAAAATTAGTATTCAAACAAAACATTATGCTCCATTCGTATAAAACTCACAAACTAAGTAAGTATAAATATTGATGAAATCGGCTGAAACATGATCAAGCATGGCGAAGACAATTTTATTTTCCAAACTAGATGACTAAATTTTACATACTACCTCCATAACATAAGGATAGTTAGTTTCGTGTAGTATTTTTTATGTTTTCACACATGTGTGTGTCTACTTGTAATGAAAACCGATTGCAAATTAGGATTCGTGGACCTATTTCTGTTTTCCCCCTATTTTCGCCACTTGATGTCTGTGACCGTATCAGTCTCAAGTTTTTACACTCACCCAATGAGCCCCCTTTTTGAAATACACTCAATCATGGTTAATTATGTAACTATTGCGTGTTTACTTTGTCACATAAGGACTGAATTAAAACAGCAACATGTTTTCAAGGACAATGTTAAAAAAATCGTTTTTGGAGAGAGAGAGTGAAAGGTGGGGATTGTATTAATTGTTTCCTCCGTAATTTAATAATGATCCTATTTCCTAATAATAATTTCTATATATTTAGGAAGGCAAATTGAAATTACAAAATGATCTTTTACATTTTCAGCTCCAGTCAAAAGAATCAAGAAGCTGTATTTGGATGATGACTCTTTCAGTGTTCTATATCGTACACAATCCTGCTGGAAGAAACGTTCTCGTGGAAATGCAAAAATGTCATTGGGACCAACGTTGCAGTCAGTTGAATATGCAGAAGTCGAAGACAGCCACGAAGAAGATATAGAAATAGATGGTAATTATACTTCATTTATAGTGATAATTTAACCCTGATCACAGCCTCCCCCACTATTCCGGATTTTTTGATGTGCATGCAACTGCTTATTTGCTTACGTGGCAGCTACGCGCCTGGAAATGATAAGATAATAAGCAGTTAACTATTAACAGGTTCCTTGGCAGATTAGTTGAAGTTTTAGCGGCAACAGTGGACCCATTAACTTCATCAAAGAGTCTTTCCCACCAATGATGGTGGCAACAGGCGTTCATGTGTGCGGTTCATGCATTACTGCACATATGGAGACAGGAGTCGCTTGTTTAGGCACCTGTGGAAACCTATTTCCCTCGGGCAGTATGACATCAATTTCTGAAGAATTTGTTGCCTTTTATGGTAAGCCTTTATTGTGTTTCTCATTAATTTCTTATATATATATCGGTGTAGGATCTAAATTATAATTTTCATGGCCTTGAAAAACTATTCAGCC